AAGAAGCGGCAAATGCGGAAGCGGCGAGCACCGATGGGTTGTAATCCATCGCCATCGAGCGCATGGTGCTGTAGAACATGCGGTCGCGAGTGCCTTAGTCAGGCAGGCTTAGTGAGCCATGAGCGAGGCCACTCGTGACCACTACAGAAGCGACGACGGGTCCTGCAGAGAAAATAGGCATAACCGGCGCAGCGTTTGTAAGTACGCTGCATTCGATTTACTAACCGCGTGCTTACATGCTAATTCTCTTTATTTCAGATGGTGGTTTTTCAGTTTTGTCCTAATGCCTTTCTTTCTCATATAAATGTCTACCTATACTCTATTCCATTAACTTGCACACTTCGCTTAAGCCAAGCCGATCTCCATAGCAATTTTGTGTTCGAGGTATACCGTAAAATATACTTTCTGACCTCGCGAACTTATTTAGGATACGTTTGTAAACAACTTATTACATATGCTCATTAACTTAAGGTTTATGTCACCGATTCCTTATGCATTAATCGAGTTATTTTCTTTGTCTCTCTCTCTCTCTCAAATGTTTGGCGGTTGTTTGATATCCCCGGTGTGGCTGCACTTAATGTGCATGTTGATAAGGTGCCTACCTGTCTATTACCCACTACCTAGTCCATACTGGCTCCAGGAGACAGTTTGCCGTTGCTGGAGTGGACGGCGTGCACCGTCCTTGTGGCCGTGTTTGGATCAAAGAGTGGTTCCCTGCACTCAGTTTGGAGCGGACTACTGTCCAGCCACCGCCTTGTGTGCGCACACTCCCAAGGTAGCAGAAGCGGGATGTGTTTTCCAATACTTTAGCACCAATGCTTATTCACAGCAATATTGAAGATTGCACCTCCGGTGAAGGCTGAAAGAGACAGACAGTTTTGCTTGTGTTGATGGTGAACCCGAATTTGGCCGCTGTCGAAGCCAGAGCACTAGTCATGTGCTGCAACTCATCCGCGCTGTGTGAAAACAACGCACAGTCGTCAGCAATATATGGATAGTTGTCTCACAGACTAAGGTTCTCGCACCGAAACGACGGATGTTCAGCAACCCACCATCAATACGGTGCTCCACACAAACACCGTAAGTACAAGCGGCATGGAAAACACAAGACATCATGGCATGAAGATATTTATTAAACAGGGCAGGAGCTAAGCCACAGCCTTGCTTCACACCAGAGATAACTGCAAAGTCATCCGAGGTCTCTCCACTCAGCTGCACCCTCGCTCGCATACTACTGTTCAGACATTCAATTAAACGTACAAACTTAGGCGGGCAACCAAACTTACCCAACACCAGCCACAATGCCTCGCGGTTCACCGTATCAAATGCGTTGGTGAAATCAACAAAAAGCGAGTACAATGGCTGGTGTCGTTCTCTGCACTTCTCCTGCAACTGACGAGCCGCAAACACCATAGCTATAGTGCTGCGACCCGAACAGAATCCACACTGCTCTTCCGCCACGTTAGATTCTAAAAGAAAACTGACGACGCGGTTGAGCAGGATTAGGGCAATCACCTTGCCCACACAACTCAGCAACTCGTGCAACATTGCTTGCTCCCTATTCCATTGTACAGTGGTAGCACAAGGGCATCCTTCAGCTCAGGAGGCACCTCCTCCTCAATCCATACGCGTTGCACCAAGTGGTGCAGCGCAGCCACAAACGCGGGTCCGCCGTGTTTCAATACTTCAGGCGTGATCCGTCGGTACCGGGACACTTGTCGTTTCGCAGCTGAGCAAGTGCTCTCTGCGTCTCATCCAGTGTCGGTGTGTGCGCCAGATTCGCCTTCACATCGTGCTGCTTCAGGCCGTTCAAAGTAGACCTGTTGATTTGTTTACGGTTTACAATATACAATCAGTGTTCTTGCCAGATGTGGGTTAAGTCTGTATGCACGCAGCGTCCTCGGCTGCTCCAACCTCGGTCCCTACACCGCCTTCAAGGAGTCAAAGAATTCCTTGTGTTGATAGCGTTCGGCGTAGCATTCCATCTGCTTCGCCTTCTCCGTCCACCATGCACTTTTAATGCGATGGAGCCCCAGAGTCTGTCGTTGTCGAAGTTTTCGAAACTGGCTCTTCTTCCCCAAGTCACTGTGTTCCGCCACTTGTGCAGCAAATGCTGCATTCTTCTCTGACACAAATGCGCCAATCGTGGCATTGTTGTCATCAAACCAATCAGGCCGCTTACAGTTTGCGCGCCTGATAGTCTCCTCGGCAGCAACTGTCACCTGGTCGCGAATGTGGTGCCACAGGTCGCCCACTGTGGCTATGTAGTCCACATCACACAGACGTGCAGCCATCGCCTTCTCCAGCTCAGTACGTTTCTCCACAGTAGGGATGGAGAGAAGGTTAAATTTACGCCAATTCACGGCGGGAGTGCAATACCTAGATTTACGAAAATATATGTACAGTTTGGTCCGCACCAATTTGTGGTCAGTGCCACACTCAGCTCCACACAGTACATGTGCCATGCGCACTTCACGCATATCACGCTGAGGTACGATGACATAGTCGAGCAGGTGAGGGTGACCATTCCGTTGGTGCGTCCAAGTTGCTATATCACTCGCGCTCAGTGCAAACCGAGTGTTCGTGATCGTCAGGCCGTGAATGGCACACAGTGAGAGCAGCCGGTCACCGTTCGCATTCGCTGAACCAATGCCATTCGGACCGATAACATCTGCCCACGCTGATGCATCACGCCCAACGCGCGCGTTGAAATCACCCATCAGAAATAGTCGGTCGCTCCTCGGCCCAGACCGTATCACGGAGGATAGCTGAGTGTAGCATTGACCATGCGTGTCATCAGGATAACACATGGTCGGACCGTAGGTGTTCATAAAGTGTCAAACTTACCTCTTCCGAGTCGTAGGCGAACAGTCATCAGTCGCGCGCTGATGCCTGTTGGTTCACCCACGAACTGGCCATTCAGGCGATCGGATATTGCAAATCCGACCCCATGATCACGTAGTGCTGAGGGAGTCCCCGGAATATCGATATTGTGGCGCGCCAGTTCCATCGCGACCAGTGCAGTGCGTCGCTCCGGGCGCTCACTCGAGTTCCGGTCCAGTGGTGTGCGCACGTTCCAGCACCCGATGCTGAGTGCTTTGTGCGCAGGCATACGATTGCATTGGTGGACAATCGCACGCGAAGTGGCGGTTGTGCTTCGTAGGTTTGCTTGAGGGACTCCACCGGAGCCTTTGGCTCAATAGCCTGACCCACAAGGCAATTTGTGATTTGGAGCTTTGCTTGAGGGACTCCACCCGGAGCCTTTGGCTCAATAGCCTGACCCACAACGTAGTGGGGAGCAGATCTAACTCGGGAATGCTATTGCAGGGATAGATTGGAATCTGCTTGAGGTACTGTAACGACTCGTATATGTTTTGCTCAAGCGTATTCTGGATTTATATTCGGCTTCTGCATTTTTATGCTGGAGGATTTTTAAACACATGCTGTGCTTCTGATTTCGTGTTTGCGTTGTTTTCTTGATCTGAGACTGAGACTGTATTTAAGAGCAAGTAGAAAGGTTTCTGTACAACTCTATCGAATTACGAAAAATCAAAATTTACTTGTGAATTATCAGCAGTTGTGTCTGGTCTGTTGATCGTTTATCCGTGTTCGGTTAGAAATTTGTACTAGCGTCATTTTTTCCGGACATACAATGTAGTCTTTTGGCACTGTATGTGCATCGTTTCACAAAAGCACAGGTTTCCAAAATAATCGTCGATACGGGTTTTAAAACACTTCACAGAATCGGCCTCTATTAATCCTTCTGGTAGTGTATTCCAAAAGTTTACGATTCTTCGTTCGATACAAAGCTGATGTGATACTTTGTTCATGCTGGGGACCCTGAGTTTGTAACGATGTCCTCGGGTGTTACAAGGGTTCTCGCAGGTGAAATATTGGCCGTAGTATGGGGAAGTGATTCAAGTGTAGTACTCGATGGGTTCATAATAAGATCAATTCTTACTCGGCGATAGGATAGTGTGTAGAGTCCGAGCTTTTCACAACGTTTTTCATATGGAAGCTTTCGTAGACTTGGTATCATTCTAGTTGCGATATGCTGTATTTTCTCCAATTTTTCAGTTTCCCACTGGGTTATCGGATGGTAAGCTGGGGCACCGTATTCAAGGATTGGTCTAATGAGCTAGGTTTACACCCAACGATGGGGTTCCTGCTTGTCTCGACTTTTCGGCTATGCGACTGGATCTTCTTCCCCTGACGTTTTGATCACCAGGCTGCGTGGTCAACGTTTGGTTCATTTGAGTCACATTGCATTTCTTGTTGGGTTGGCTGCGGTGCTGCTGTATTAAGACCCACCATCCTGACAGGGCTGAATCTTTGGTCGCCTACCTTTTGTAAAAGACATTCTGGAATGAGAGCGTTTTTCAACTTCTCTTTTGGATTAAGACGACCCTATCTAAGTTCCGGTAGCCTGTATGCACAAAATCTGTATCCATATTTGTCCACGGTTTCAGACTTAGTTATTTACCACAGCCTTATCAGCTTGTAGCCGTATTTATGCGAAACTCGTGCTGCATCACATTGATATGCATGTGGGCTGTTCATTTCCAGATTCTCTGATATCGGACTCGGTGTTTTGTTTCTGTCAGTTCTGATTCCATAATATATTTCGCCCGAATGATTTTCTCTACCAAATTGCTCGATATGAATTATTACCATGATTACTGTTCCATTCAGTTCATGTCATGTAGCATCTTCACCCGGGTTTTCATCCAACGCTAATCCCTATTTCTATTGATATCCTTCGCTATGATCTGCTATTGGTCTGCGTCTTTTTGCTTCTTACACCAAGTCGTTTTCCGAATGAGAATCTCTGTAAGTCTTTTTTTTACCCGCGCATCGTATACATGGTTGATTCTTGATACTTTTACTTCACTTATTCCTATCTTTTCTCTTGCAAGTGCTTTTTATTTCGTTCTACTGGTCTGCTAACTCCCCCCTCCCTTGATGTTATATTTCTGACTCTTTTTCCTCCTACTACACAGCTCCACCGGGCCTACTTCCGAGGGCGAGGTTACAGATTTCGATGATGATGACCTCTCAGGTTCGGACACATCGTTAGGTGACATTCCGGATAGTGTCGTTATCGCCGCTAACCTAATGCACTCACCACCATCGTCCGTGTCTTTGTACTCTGCTTCCAGTCGGTCGTCCAGCTTCTCAACTCCTCGCAAAAGAAAGCGGAGTAAGGAGGGCAAACGATGTCGTTCGAGATTCTCTTCACGTTACTCTTCCACACGATCATCGACGGGAGCTAGCAGGCATTCCCGTCGACGATAGCTGCTTGTCGTAAAATTTTTAACCGGTTTTCTCTTTTGTGATCAATTTTTCTCTTCTTATCTTTCCTTGTGTCGGCTGTGATAATAAAAGAATACTCGTTTTGTCGCATTACTTATTATTTGCACCTATTGGGCTTGTATGGCAGTGATGGCTAGCCCATTCGTGTCCGTTCGTAGGATTCTACAAGCCAACTATCGAGTTGGTGGAGTGGTTGTAACTGGTCATTTGTGCGACTGTGCTCATACCATTTACCGCTGCGGCTTTCTTGTGGCTTTCTCCCACTAACTGTTAAGACGGGTTTACTTGGCTCATTGATAGTTCCAGTTAAATCAGTTTCTATCACTCAAAAGCTCATAGGCTGGCGAAATGGTTTCTGATTTGCCTTCCTTTGATTGCCTTTTTGCGTACCTGCATCTTGCTTATGATACTAAAAGATCCCTCCATCGTTACCTTTTCCGTGCTTTCACTCGGTGTTGTATAAGTTCCCTCCTGACGATATTTTGCCGCCCAAAAACGATCATGCATTCCTATCTGATTTCACATTTTCTTCTACTTAATTTCACTCTGCACTATTCTACACACGTCGATTGTGCAAATTCGATCCTTCTGATGAGCACAATTTTACCACTTATTCATTAAATACTCTTACTACTGATCAAACTTTGTCAAACCTGTACTATGTATGTCACTTAAGTGTTTTGTATAATACTGCGTTGATTGCCGACACCCTTTTTAACCTACTGTCCAAGATGCCCCTCAAATGATCCTCGTCTTGTTATATGTTCGTTAGCATTTGAGGGGCTCGCTTTTTTCGTCCAATCCAGTTCTTCCCATCTCTGCCCATCTCCCTCTCCGTTTCCCTATTAAACGGCATTTCGGTGCACCATGCCCTTGCCTTATTTTCACTTTCTACGCACGCTTTCCTATCAGGCATCTTCGTTTGCGCTATGCAATTGCTCTGATTGGCATGTTCCATTGTTTTTTAAGGCCAACTTATTTGGATGCCCTTCTTTGCTTGTTAGCATGACTCGTTTGTTAAGCGTTGCTCACGTAGCACTGTGCCTCAGTAATCATTGCACCAGCCCTTGAACATTCTCCATATTAAAAGCTAAAATCAATCGTAAAGTACATTGTTTAGAACAGCGTTGAAACTCCTACTCGTGTGGTTCTTCCTAATCCCAATCACCTCGCCCATCAAAGTGGCATCACCTTATCGCACGAGAACAGAGGGTAGTTTCAATGAAAATAACCATCTGATATTATCGCTAGACGCCCATCTGTATTTGATAACCGCTGTTTACAATCTACTGCCCAGATCGTGTACAGCCACACAAGGAGGTGGGGCGACGACTCACCTCCGACGGTTAATGAATCGCATTGGACTATGCTCTTCAACCAGCATCTTCTATGCTGACTTGCTGAACTATCTCCTCATTGTATCGGTTGTGTGGCTCGATTTTATACTTTTTCCTCAACTATTTCTGCCACGGTGTTCCGGGGCGTCGTAGATTCTTCCCCTGAAAGCTTTCTCTCTATAAAAACCCACAAATGCCCGTTTAACAATACTGTGATGTCTCGAATATGGCTCGCCACTGAAGTCGCTTCCCATTATTTTAACTTGACGAAGCGTTTTCGGACAGAACATGGACGCGAGGTGAATTGGGAACCCGTTTGGCGACATCATACGAAAGGCTTATGAACTGAAGATTCCTTCACCGGCTTCCAATAAGCACCGCTGTATTGCTGGTAAGGTATTCAACCATAGGCCCGGGCACTCTGACAGTATCGCGCCCTCTGAAGAACCTGCAGGATGGTTCTGTTTTCGATCTTCTTCCTACATCTCCTTACTTTCTAAATTTTTGATCCCTCTACGCTTACCCATTGGACTGTTGCAACTATATCATTCTTTTTTGCACACGTTTGTTTCTTTTCCTAGTTACCCGTGTTGTCTGAGTTTGTTTATGATGTCAGTGCCAATCGATAGCTGTATTTGTAGTACACATCAAATCTCATCCTGAGCATCTGAGTCGTCTCGGTGTTTTTCCCTGCTTGGTTAGTATTATCAGTTTAGATCTGCGACGATTTCGTCAACCCTTTAGAACGCCCACTTAGTACACTAACTCTGCCATATTGGCTTTGTTCCCGAATATTTTCCTCTCGTTGTTCACATTCACTGTCCACCTGCGCTAGTTCATGGAATTATCCAGCTATCTTGAACTGCGAAATTTGTAGGGTATTTATCACCGCTTTACAGTCACCTGTACAGCCCCACCGGGATGAAACAAAACTTTTGCTTGTTGTGTTCCTCCTTTGCGTACTCCACTGATTCATTGAGCCACACACTGGGAGACATTCATGTAGCGCCTTTAAATCCAAACAGAGCTGGTAATCGTCGGCACGCCACTGCATACGCATTTTCCCCCACTTGTTTTGCTAACATTCCTTTTGATCTCTATCATTGAATTTGTTTCTATTGCCATATGAATCAACAATTTTCGTTCTACTGCAGTTCTGCCGCTCTACTCATTCAGTACCGACTGATCGTCTATCCATAGCAACCTACTATGAGTTTGATTTCTTCGATTTCTTTAACCGTTTTCAACTTTCGTAACTTAAGATGTGTACTTCTCGGGGGTTTGACAGATTCTGTCCGCAGTGAACAGATAAGGATTTGCAGGTTAGCAGGCTGCGCTTTCAAGCACGGCGGTCACTGTGAATCTTGACGTGTGCTGCGCCCCTGTATCCATAATACGATTGTCAAATTAACCACTAGCTTATCCTATCTCCTTTAATTGCACATTTCTGGAGACGCTAATTGATCGAACGCAAGACAAGCTTGAATGGACGTCATTTTCCACTTGGGAGCTGAATTCTCGATCATTTCTTAATTTCTATGTAGCAGTCAATCGAATACAGCCTGTTGGGCAGCGTCAACTAAATCCGACACACGTAACGCCTCCAGCGGCTGATGGTTGCACTTGTTGCCCATGCTCCAGTTGGCTGTACTTCTGATACTACTATGGTTGCCTCCTACTACGTGATTGGCATGACACCAATGTACTACTAGCACAGCTTAATAAATAACTAAATAAACTGTTTATTCTCTATTACGTCGGGTACGCCTGCACAGGCATGCTCATGGTAAAAATGTAAAAAGTGATTGGTTAATGTACAATGGAACAATAGGATTGTCACATGTTGATATATAAATGTATGTATGTGTGCATGTAGGCATGTGTAGCCGTGTTTATGGTATTTGTAAATACTTTTCCGCACTTTTGATCGGATTTGAAATAGATGCTTGATGTCTGTGGACTTGTAACAGTTGTCCGGATAAGCAGGGCGTGATTTTCTTCGGTGGCAAATGTGCCAACCACAATGTCCAAGTGTGTTGTTAAACAGACATATGTGAATTTTTATTGGGAGAACGCTTGCCAGGCGAAAACCCACTACCTCCTGGAACACTTCCGCTGAACTATTTGCTAGAACGGAGTAAACCCGAAACACTCAGCTGGCACCATGAGGAGGTTGTCCGGCTAGCCAGCCTTGAGTAAACAGTATCAATGCCTCTAACTTGCAGGTTTATGTTGGCCTATCGCGGCGCTGCACACCATATCCCTAACAGGTAAGTTAATATCACAGTGAGGTTGGACCTTAATCTGGCGCGGTGGTTTGCGTGCTTCAGCGATCCATTGAACTGTGCTCGGTGGTGCTGCTCGCACTTTCATAGCCATTCATACCAGATAGTTCAATGGTTAGAGGCTAGACAAACACGGTCTCCAGGTTGGAGACTTCTTATTCCTCAAAGCTGACACTGTAGCGCAGGGCCAAATCCCGCTGCCTTGCGGTCAGATTTTTAAACCAAAGACTTTGGTTACGATCTCTAATTGTTCTCCTGTCTAGGCCTTGATAACCTGACATTATCCTGCACACACAATGCAATCAATTTTTCTTCTAACGATTTCTTCATGCTCTGACAGCCGCAGAGGATTATAAATGTCACCCTAGCTGCTGCACCGCGCAAGGTGGATAGGGATTTGGATTCTGCTGCCCAAGACTTCCCGTCTTCTTATTCCCCATCTTACGCTTCTTTATCCTTGTCCTCCCTTTCGAACTTCACTTTTACCCCACAGTTTTTAACATCTCCATTCTTTGTCCTTCCCTACCTTGTTTTCATAAGCGTTTATCTTCTAGTTTCAACTCATGCAACCTAGTTGCGTCACTCCTGCCCTGTCGACAAGCACATATCCAACCAAGCGGGTAAGTTCAATTTATCGCTTCCTATTTGAGTTACGATTGGTATGCCTCAATGTACGCACATTATATTACAAATTAGCCAACAAATAGCACTTGCCCGTACACTGGAGGCTCTCGATCGATATCTGCTGCTTATCGGAAACCCGCCTGCACGACTCGAGCTCTGTGCTCACTCTGCGACTACCTTCAGGCAACACCAGCAGTATTTTCTCATTGCGCCTATCCGGTGACGGTGCAGCCTCTAGCGCCGGCCAAGCTGGTGTTGACATTGCCTTGAGCCCCCCGGGTTGAAGCTGCTCTGGTTGATTAGATCCCAATCAGTAGCCGGATGTGTGCGTTCCGATTGGCTGGCTCGTTCAAAGCTTCGAAGTCGCGCGGAACTTATAGTTGCTTTTACGATAAATCGGAATACTTGTAGCTTGGGTTGACTCTTCTGGTTTTTGTTTGCTCTCCGAGCTGAGCAGTTGTGCTGCAGACTTTTCGTCATTAGCCGAGGTGACATCCTCATTGTCTCACTGCATAGCGTACAGCTCGTTGAGTGTGTCGTCGGCTCTTTATCGATGGGCAAGTGACGTTTGAACTTGGCCTGTTCGCATCATATCATGTGACTTTCTGGGGTTTGTTGTTCGGCAGTCGCTGCCTCACACCTTATGTTAAGATTTCGGAGTCGTCCAATTTCTTTTTTTCTCTATGGTTGGTACACCAGGTCCAAGTCTATGTACAGGTTTATAGAGTGTTCTGTTGTAAACCAGGCTTCTAGGAATTCTCTGCTTTTTCTGATTTCTCTCCGCGCGAAAATTTTGGTTTTATCCCAACCAAACCTGTGCCGCTCCTCATCAAC